ATTATCCAACTGTTACTGAGAAGGGCCAGTACTGAACTAATAGGGGTTTAGGGTTTAGGGTTTCATAACCCTAGGGTTTAGGGTCTAAACTCATTAGATGTGGGTTATATAGAGGATTACTGTAGGTTTTGGGGTTTAGGGTTTAAGTCCCCTAGATTGTGGGAAACACTGCTATAGCAATAAAATGTCATGCACAGTTAAGATCAACAGCAGTCAGTAGTCGCGATAATGAGCACTCTACAAAGTGGACGAGAAGGACCTCCATGAGGGACATGCAATTGGAGAAGCTCCACTTACTGCCTGCACACACTCTTTTTGGCACATGCCAAGCAAGGTCCGCATATCACTTTACGCAGCAAAAGAGGCGGCGAGGAGAGAAAGAGCCAGGGCAAAACTCGCCTTGATTGCACCTTTGGCAGGGCAAAGGTCTGGGATTTGGGGGTTTGCGTGTGGGGTTTCAGGCTTAGGGCCTGTGTTATTGATGCCTTAGAGGTGTGTGTTTTGCTTCAGGTCTTTGGGCATAGGGTTTGAGTGTCCCAGTAGCGGTGAGCTGCGCAAAACTCACAAGCAACTCAACTATAAGTGTGGCTGTGTGTACTGTCATCATGCAAATGGCACTCATCATAATACGCACCACGCTACTCAGCTGTACGAGAGCGCAATAAAACTAAAGTTACAAGACCCTGCATCCTAAACCGCGTTGCTAGGAACTAAACGTGAGGGTCCCTTTGCAAGCTCTGGCCCGTGGTTGACAAGGTGAGGAAGGGGTCTACTTAAGGTCTAGGGGTTTAGGGGTTAAGGATTTAGGGTTTGAGGGTTTGGGGATCAGGGTTTAGGGGTTTAGTGATTAAGGATTTAATTGTTCTGTGTTTAGGGTCTTGCGGTGTAGAGTTTAGGGCGTAAGTGTTTGGGGTTTAGGGTGATTTCCATGGTCATGACCACAATGATGACGCTGCTACCGCTGGTGATGCTGAAGCTTTTGGGAGCTGGTAGATTCTATCCATCTCTATGCACATCGGACCTGGAAAGCCAATGATGCACAAGGTGTAATCTCATACCGTATTCGATCTAAATTTCATTTCCCTCAATAGCCATCATGGAAGACAATGTCCCCTAAGTTTCTCCTCATAGACCTACAGGAACATTAAATAAAGGACTTTTAGATAAATCCCCATATCCTTTAATAACCCTCATATACCCCTTGATACCCCTATATACCCTCATAAAACCCTACGAAGAGGACCCAAACCCCTAAACCCTAAACAGCAAGACGGTGGATACCCTGCATGACCCTACGCACCTTCTACTGTGTGAAGTATGGTACTGTGGTATACTAAGGTCATGCAGGATTTTTAGCTCACCAGGAGGACCCTTGGATCCCAAACCCTAAACCCCTAGACCCTAAACCCTTAAACCCTTAAACCCTTAAACCCCTAAACCCTTAAACCCTTAAACCCCTAAACCCTTAAACCCTAAACTCCAGGAGGACCTTTTGATCTTTTCCCGCGTCCCTGATTGCGCCTGCACTGCTCTTGGCCGAGCAAGCCTGCACGATGTCCTTGCCCAGGCCTGGAATCTTCCCCGCCCCCACAAGGGTTTGGGGTTTAGGGTTTAGGGTTCAGGGATCAGGGTTTAGGGTTTTGGGTTCCGGGTTTAGGATTTGGGGTTTAAGGGCCAAATTGCAAAAACAGAGAATCACATGGAAAAGAAGATGGAACATGCAAGGGAAACCGGGGTTAGATAGGGATACCTAGGGATTGGGGTTTCCAAAAAATTCAAATCCTTTTTTGGGGGTGCCTATAACAAGGACTATAGTATTTGGGGTCTAAATAGGGGTCTCCTATGTATGGAAACTACTGTACTTGAATTTAGGGTTAAAAGCTTGTGCCCCTAGAATTAGAACCCTAAACCCAAAACCTGAAACCTAGAACCCTAAACCCTAAACCCTAAACCCTAAACCCTAAAGTTGTAACCCCGTCCTTTCAGGAGGTGTTGGGAACTACATTGATTCATACAAGGGCAATATGGGGTTCATATGAGGAGAACAACATTAGAGTGTACGACCTTAGGGGTATGACCCTAGAACTCCAAAACCGTAATCCTTCCTTGAAGGCTCAGGGACTTGGAAGACAGGCTATATATGAACTATAGTCTAAACTACTCATAAGACCTATACTATTCCCCTATGTAATCCCCTATATTAGCCCATTTTAAGGAGTTTAGACTGTAGTTCATATGGGCTCAGCAGGGCCCTGACCGGGGGTCGGCTTGCTTAAAGCCCCTAGTTACTACAAGTACGTCCCCTGAGCCTGTAAGGAAGGGGTCCGAATACATACTAGAAGGCAATTTGGAACCAGCTGGGCTCACATACTATATGAGTACCTGGTCTTCTGGGGCTATCCTGACTTGATTTTTGCAATGTTTAATCTTATCTTATGAAGTACTGATACGTTGCCATTGTAGTTATCTCTTCTCCGATTTATGGTGCTATTTGGCTACAACCTGCAAATGCGCTTCCAAGCTTCGAAATTAAACCCATTTTGGCAAACGCCCAAAGTCTGGAAAATACTGAAAACATACCCAACGAAGACCCAGCAGCAGGCGGTTCCGTTCCATGCGCACTTGTCCAATTTGGTGCAGTTGTTCCTTGGATCGGTGCAGGGCTTAGGGATCATAAGGGCGGAGGCTGCAAGATTCAGGATTCAGCGCTCGAGGGGTCAGGGTTTAGGGTAGCTTGGGCACCCCTGTCAAATAAAGACCTTATTTGTCAAGGATCCGCCCCGAAGAAGGAAACCAACCCTACACCCGAAAACCTGTGGCTAACCATCCCCTAATTACCCCCAAACCCTAAACTGTGGTTTCCATCTCTCTTCCATTGCATTTTCCAGTATTGGACCAATATTTAGCATAGCCCTAAGGGTCCAAGTGCTCAACTAATGTAGTAAGGCTTTAGGCAGCCTTAGGCACCGAAACCATTCCGATTACAGCATTTGGGACCCAAAGCCTCAATGTTGGGGTACTTGGAATTTTGGGGTTAAAAGCCTTAAAGTGGAGACCCCAATATAGACTCCAAAATAGCAGTCATTATTTTAGGGACCTCCAAAAGGTACACCGAACTTTGGGAAACCCAAGACCCTAAACAACAAACCCGAAACCCAAACCCTATATAGCTATCAACAAATCAAGGACAGTTTCTCAGAGTTCTGCGCGACGCAGGCCTGCAGTCTAAGAAAGTCACGTGGGGATTGTAAGGCTTGGGCTTTAGAGTTTAGGGATTATAAGGTTTGGGGTCTAGGTTTAAGGATTACAAGGTTTGGGGATTAGGGTTTAGGGATTTTTTTTTCTCCGGGTTTAGGGCTTTCAGGTTTGGCCTTGGGTTCAAAACGGCACGGCAAAGTACAAGCATCTGCACTCCAAACCCCGAACTTAGGCCTAAAAGTTAGATTTAAGCCCAAAAAATCAAGATCATGAAAGCTACATCCGTAATCCCAAAACCACATCCTGTACCCTAAGCCGCGCATCTTTCTCTCACCAGACTCTACATGGTAGCTTCCCAAAACAAGGGGACCCCAATATAGACCCAAAAATAGTATAATCCTTATTATAGGAACCCCTTAAAAGGTACCCCCAATCTTGGGAAAGCCGCATATCATGGCATAAGCCCTGAGCCCTTCAGCGGGCCTCCTTGTTCGTGGCACTGTAGGAGTCACTGGCACCGCAGGTAGCGTAGGAGAAGTAAACCTGGAATTTACTTTGCCACATGTGCTTTGCCGCGGTTTTTGGCGGTTTGTGGCTTTAAAAACGTCAACCCCACATTTGCCCAAAACTTTTGCAAAGCTATTTGAGGGTTTAGGTATAGGGTTTCAGTCTAAAAGGCCTAAGCGAAAATACGGTCCGTTTTGACCTGTGCTCCCCGCTATGAGAATTTGCGTTCGTGTCCGAGGCGTTCGCAACAAGGTTTAACGCCACAAACACGCCTTGAGGCCCCAAACGGTTTAGAGTTTAGGGGTTGAGGGTTTAGGGACATGGATGTGGTTCGAAATTTGAGTAAACATGCTCCAGCGCTAGGCATTTTGCTTTCGCCCCAGCCAGTGAACCCCTTTCAGAAAAGCATTCCCTGGGGATCTAAGGTTGCAAACAATTCCTACATTGGGCCCCCTGAAATCTATAAATATGAGCTACACTGGGCCCTAAAGTCTATAAATAGTACCTATTACCTGGGCTATTTGGATCCCTCAGCCCTAAACCCCGAAACCCTGAATAATACCGACTCTGGGCCTTAAAGTCTATATGACCTACATTGGGCTATTTGGGTCCTAGGGCTTTCCTTACCCAAAAAACCTAAACACTAAACCCATAACCCGAAATCCCTAACCCCCCAAACCCTATACCCTAAACCCCGAAACCCCTGAACCCCTATACCCTAAAACCCCCAAACCCCTAAACCCCTAAACCCCCTCAACCCCTAAACCCTAAACCCTATGCCAAGCCACAGGCTTTCCGTTCACGAGGCCTGAGGGCAGATACGAGGATGTCTTGGGTGGGACCTCCAAGTCGCACTCACCTGAGCTTCGAGTTTTGGGTTTTAGGGTTTAGGGGAGCTTAGGGTTTAGGGGTTTGGGGGGGGTTTAGGGTTTTGGGGTTTTGGGAGTTTAGGGTTCAGGATTTAGGGTTTAGGGTTCAGGGCTTAGAGTTTAGGATTGGGGTTTTAGGGTTTAGGCTTAGGGTTCAGGAAGTAGGGATGAGTTCACCGGCAGGAGTTTGGGGTAGGTACAGGCGGTAGGAGGTTCAGGGCTTAGGGTAGGGCTAGAGGCACGGGCATGTTCACATAGGGCTTGCATGACAACAATCCTCACCCAAACACCAAAAAGTCTAAACATAAAGTTCTCTTGCGGCCAGCCCCGAACCGCAGGAACCCAATGTCAAACATGCTTTCGAGGTCAAAGAAAAATGAAAATGCAAACCGGCAACATACTGATCGCAGGCTCCGCAGTAGGTGTCAGGGTCACTGCTATGGGTATCATGCCCTCAAAATGCCTGTCAAAAGCGTATTCTTTCCAGTAAAATGCAAAGCTTTCTCGGACTAAGGGAACCTACACTTCCCAAATACCCAGACTACAGGCCTTTAACCCCAAATCATTGGCATGCTTAAGGAGCATGTGGTCAGTTTGGCATTCATGGTCCCCCAAATTGGACACATACACCGTCACCACTATTCCTAAGCCCGACTCTTCCTAAATAAGGGCACAGATGCAGAGCCCATACCTTACCCAACATAATATCACATGAAAACCCTTACGATCCCACATACCCCAGACGCGTATGTGTATGTATATAATATGTGTATATATATATATGTATATCTCTCTCTCTCTCTCTCTGTCTCTCTCTCTCTCGCTCTCTCTCTCTCTCTCTCTCTCTCTCTCTGTGCATGAAATCTCAAGAAACCGCAGATGCTTTTCAGAAGTTCAAAGAAAATCCGTTCATGCTTGCATTTCTTGTCCCTTTGGTTCTCCATTATTCAAACTCTAGTATCCAAACCCTAGGCCATGGACTAAACCCTGAACCCTATACATCCCAATAAGCCAATAAAGACCCTTCCAGATGCTGGGAACCCATTTAGATAAGTTCGAGTTACATGGGTCCACGTAGCACCAGGCCTGTTTGCACCAGTCGGCTGGCTTGTCGCCCATGCAATCCTTAGCTGCAGGATTTCTGAGGGCTAGGGTTTAGTGGCATGTATGGGGCAGGATGGGCAAATTTGGGGTTTGTTGCGCATAAGGCTAGGCTAGAAGCGTTTAGGGTTTTAGGGGGGCGGGGGTGCATGTAGAGTACAGAATAGGGGAGAGGGTCTCCAGGGTTTAAAAGTCGTACCGTTCATACGAAAGATCCTGCATGACCTTAGTCTACTTACTACAGTTCGACCATAATTCCTGAGGTTTAGGGTACTTGTGGTAACCCCGGGCCCTGGGGCCTTAAGCCCTACGACCTCCACCCTGAACTACATGTTGCACCCTAAGCTCCCAACCTCCAGTCCTACAGAGATCTAGGGTTTTAGGTCTTAGGGTTTAGGGTTTTGGGTTTTAGGGTTTGGGCTTTGGTTTAAGGATTAGGCACAAAATACAAAGACACCTACATTGGAACCGAGCGGGGCCCAAAGTACATCCAACTTAAGTACTTAATTGGACCCTCAGGCTATGTTCTCGAGGAGCCCAAATACTCACAAATAGGCGCTGCATAGACTCTGTTCAAGGGTGGCTGGTGGGCATTCAAGAGTAGCGAACGCCCCCCCAAACCCCGAAATTCTAAAGCCCTGAAAATGCTAAGGAAACCCTATAAGCCCAATACCCCTAAGACACTTCAAACAAACTGAAACAAAACCCGAAACCCTAAAGCTTAAAAGCCCTGAACCCTGAAACCTAAACCCTAAACCCTAAACCTAAATCCTAAAACCCACTGCAGCTCCAGTAGCTGGATGCCTCTTGGCATCCCAGGACTCGCAGCTTGCGCCTGCTTCAGCTGGGTACCTGCTGCTCAAAAGGGGGATATCGGATCTGTTTAGGGTCTATAGGGTTTAGAGCTTAGGCTTTGCGGTTTAAGGTGAAGGGGTTCGGATTTAGGCTTGAGGGTTTCGGGTTTAGGATTTCGAGGTTTAGGGTTTCGGGAGATGATAGTCCAATTTCGCTGTACTTGTAACCCAACCATAAGCTTCCTGAGTCCCGGAAGATGGTCATAACTTGGTTATGCGTACCTGTTATATTTTGGTGATAATTGCCCTGAACCTCCAAGTCTATGGGAATTTAAGGCTTAGGGTCAGGGCTTGAGGGCTTAGCATGTGAGCTATAGTCTAAACTCCTAGTATCCCCCTTAATATACCCTATAGTAGTCCCCTATATAATCCCCTACATATCCCCCCTTTAAGGAGTTTAGACTATAGCTCATGTAGGAGTCGGGGTAAAGCAGGGAAGGGAGGTTTATAGAGGGAGGTTTAGAGTCGAAAGCTCGGGCTTTGGAAGTTGCAGTTTAGGTTTCAATGTTTCGGGGTTGAAGGTGTGGAGCGTTTCAGTACAATTCCGGAAGCATCCAAAACTCTGCTACCTATATTCGCTTCTGTCACTCCTGCCTACTTGGAGGGTCAGGGGAACTTATTAAAATATACTTTTCACCCTATAAGCCACGCGAGAATCCCAGCCATCCTAGTTACAAACTTACTTACTAACTCCCCTCGCTGGAAACCCTAAACCCTAAGCCTTACCTAGACCCCCCCAAGAACCCTCTGTAGACCCTAAGTATCCCCAAATAGAAGCTACATAGACCCTATTTTAAGGTACTTGGGCGATCCAGGTAAGCTCCTACAACCCTAACCAAGAACCAGCTGAGGCACTCGAAGTCCTTCTTTCCCATGGTCACGTTCAGGTTACCCGGGGCATCCTCAGGGTGTTGCACATGGTTTTGGGGTTTAGGATTTAGGGGTTTCGGGTTTGGGGTTCAGGGTTCAGGGCTTAGGGTTTGGGGTTTAGGGTTCAAGGTTTAGGCTTTAGGGTTTAGGGGTCAGGGTTAAGGGTGTAGGGGCTTGAGATAGTTACTGGAGAATCCAAGTATTGAAACATTGGGGTGTCGGGTGCCAGATACCGTCATCGGAATGTCCTAAAACCGCAATCATTGGGTACTGTACTTAGACCATCACCCATAGCTTCAAATAGAACCCTCCTATAGAGTCCAGCAGATTGTCATCCTTGTCAGGAACTCCCGAGATGAGCCCCCTCTTTGTTGGAAGCCCTAAACCCTAAGGGCTGAGGGTTTAGGGTTTAGGGGCTTTTTAATCCCCTACATATGACAATGGCTCATATTGAATGTCATATTGGCCTCTTTCCGGTCTGGGATCAGAGGTTGGAGCTTGTTAGGTTCGGGGATGAGGCTTTAGAGTCGGGACGTTGCGCTTAGAGCTTGAAAGGTTGGAGTTTGAGGTTAATGAATGGTTTAGGGTTTATACCAAAATAAAGGGGACCCTGTTTGGGATCTGTATATGGGGTTGGGGTCACCCCCTATTTATGGAAACTGTCATGAGAATCAAATAGGGCTTGCAGGATCTGAAGAATGTGTGGGAACGGGTTCGGAAAACGTGGTTTAGGTGTTAGGGTTTGGGGTATGAGGGTTAAAGGTTAGGGTATTATGGTATTAGGGTTTAGGGTTTAAGTTTTAGGGTAGTAGGCTTCGGAGTGTAGGGTACTAGAGTTCGGGCTCAGGGCCCTGGATCGGGGCGGGGAAATCTTCACAGGCCCTGGCGGTGGCAGGCAATGGTAAAGAAATCAAAAAAAAAACTACATGAGCAGCTTGATCCTCCACATGATGAACCACCGACCCCACACAGGCTGCATGTAAGTGATACAGGAGGGAGGCTTTAACTCAGGGATGGACAGAGTCCTCGTAGCCCACGCAGCGGCAAGACTTCTTTCCCCACTTCTTTTCATCGATCTTCTTGGCGCACACGCCATTGTCCTGATTGCGACGGTCTGTTCACACTTAGCCTACTTTGCCAGTACTCCCTGTGACCTTTAGCACTCCGCTCTATCAAGGGTACTATAGCATATGACATTGCTATGACGAATAAACCCTAAACCTTAAATAGTAGTGTCCATTTTAAGTATTTTTCATTATCCCAATATAACCCCAACATAACCCTGATATTGCCCCAATAGCCAGAGAAACCCTAAAGACTATATTCTTCTGACTCTTCTTCATATCTGCTGTGTCATATTTGGCTTTTGGTATTCTTGTCATCACTCTTGCGTGTCTCGGTCCCGCTATTTGCAGATGTCCTCCTGCTGTTTTTTCTTGGTCTCGGCTTCCATCCAGTAGTCCTTGCCTCCGCAAGTCGCATAGGAGTACCAAAGGCCCTTTCCTTGGATCTCGACATCACCCAACCAAAACAAGTGCTCCAAGGGTTCAACTAGAGACAACAAAACTTTGCAAAAAAGCTGCAAACAAACCGGTTCTACTTCTCAGCAGCACAGTTTCCCTGGTAGCTGGCACCGGGCGTATAGCTGCCTGACTTGGTCGGCGGGATGTCGAGGTCGCAATTGCACGGGTCCACGTAGCAGTAGGGCTCCTGGGGTACGGTTTTGGGTTTAGGCTTCCTGCCCCTAAACCCTAAACCCTTCTAGCCCCCAGGTAGCCCCCATCTATCCTGGAGAGCCAATACACAAGCATTGTTTCAGACACCCTGACCTCTAGACTCAATTTGGCCATTATGCTAATTACCTGCTTTTGAGGTCTAGGTAACCCCTAAACTCAAACCCCTAAACCCTGAACCCGAAACCTAAACCCTAGTCCCTGAAACCTATACCCAAAAGCCTTTAAATCACTAAACTCAAAAACCCCGAATGCTCCTTGCACCAACCGTTGTCAGCTCCCGGCTTTTGGCCTCCAAAAGCGAGTCTGGGACCCAGTCAAGGTTCAGGCTTTAGGACTTACCTGAACCCAGAAAGTATGTAGAATAATTGCCTTTTTGGACTACTTTAAAAGGTTTTTTTATAAACCTACTTTGGGGGATTAGGTAGGGTTTAGGGATGAGGTTCTGGGTCTACCGGTTGAAAGTTGACAAGGCTTCGGGTGAAAGCTTCGGGAAGGAATTTGAAGCTTCAGGTTTCGGGCTGACGGACTTGGGTTCAAAGCTCAAAGAGAGAGGATTGGGACCCGGGGCTTCTTTTGGCGAACTCTTTTGACCCCAGGGAGTGGCATTTGGGGAGACAAGTCGAAACAAGATGTGCGTGCCTTAGCAAAACTCTGTCTGAATCCGCATGAAGAACCCCAGAATCCGCCATCGCAACATCCTGGCAGCATTTCCAACCTCTGTCCCCGTAAAGACCTGACAGAAGGAGGCAACCCGACATGACACATGAGCTATAGGTTTAGGGTTTAGGGTTTAGGGTTTAGGGTTTAGGGTTATAATCTAAAGTCCTAGTATCCCCCTTAATAACCCTAGAATTTTAGGGTTCAGGGTCTAAACTCCTAGTATCCCCCTTAATAACCCCTATAGTAATTCCCTATATAACCCTTTACATAGCCCCGCCTTTTTTCAAAGAGTTTGAATTATAGCTGACATGAAGTGGTTCCCTGGCCTGGCATGCAGTAGAGGCTGTTGCGCTTGTTGTCCCAGGCCTAGCTAGGGCTTATAGGATTAGGGTTTAGGGCCTATAGGGTTCAGGGTTTAAGGTGTGGGGCTTAGGGTTAAGCTGAGCGAGGAATAAACTCAAGAGTCTGGTGCAATGAATTGTAACCAACTCCCCCTAAGATGTAGCAGGTCTGCTCCAGAATGCCGCGGTATGGAATTCTATAGGGCGGGTTGAAACTTAGGCGGTGGCATGGGGTATATTACCCTAAGGGTCCAACGACCCAAGCAATAGGGCTTTAGAGCCCAAATACCATTAACATTCTAGTATATGGGGCCTGAAACCCTACTATTCGGGTCCGTGGACGGATATGACTACCTGAGGACTCCCAGCCCGGTTCAGCGCCTCTTTCATCCCTGGCCAAGGGGGTTTAGGGTTTAGGGTTACAAGGAAATGTCCACTTTCAATCTGCGTGCAACGTGAATGCTTTTTACCAAGGGGGCCGTGCACTAAACACCACAACAGCGCCCCCCCCCCCGAAACCCTTCAGTTATCTGTATTTGTATATACATATACACAGTTGTATATATGATGTATATACACAGCGAATATATGCTTATCCCATTTAACCCTCCACGTCCGAACAAACTCCCAAAACCCCAGACCCTGAACCTTATAAACCCTGAACCCCAAATCCTACACCCTAAACCCTAAACCCCAAGCCCAGCTTAACCCTAAAGGGGACCATAATCCCAATATGTACACTATTATAAAATAGTAGTTTCCATTTTCTTTTCCATTATCCCTATGTAACCCCAATATACAACCCCCTATAGAATCCCTATATATATCCCTTTAAAGGGACATCTGCTCCCATTGTATTTTCCATTATCCCAATAATGAACTCCACCCTGAACCCTAAACCCTAAACCCTAAACCCAAAACCCCACCAACACCCAGCCCGGCGCTTCGCAGCGGGCTCCGAAGTCGGCAGGGAAGTCGGCGGTGGTCGTCTTGTTGAGCTTCACCTGACTGGTGTTTTGGAGTGGTACCCAATAAAATTACTGGGTTTAGGGTTTATGGGTTTTGGGGGTTTGAGGTTTAGGGTTTACAGGTTTAGGGTTGAAGGGCTAAGGTTTAAGGTTTGGGATTTTTCTTCTTATAAGACAGTATGACCCGAAGGCAATTTTGTCTTACTCTATATCAGGGGCTTTGGTACTCCGAAGAAAACACTATGCTGGATTTGGGGCTTAGGATTTTGGGGTTCAGTAGAGATGTGGAAAAAAGAACATGGAAACCTTAAAACACTAAATGATCAACATGAAACCAACAGCCTACACCCTGATTGGGTAGTTTCCCGGCATGTGCCCACCCAGATACAGACCCACCAAAAGAACTACCTAAACCCCCAAAACATGTAAAATCATAGCCCTAAACCCATAATAACAGCCCTAAAGGCCATTATTCTACATACTGTTGCACCTTATTATAGGGGACCCCGAAAACGGACCAGAGACGCCTCAATGGTCCCCTCCAAGCCAGCAATGCCCACGCAAGGGCACTTGCTGCTGCCAAAGTCGAAGTTCGAACCTACTTGAATGGCGGTTTTTTTGGTGGTTAAACCCAATAAGGTTATATTCCTTATCTAAAATACTATACCCTCTTGCTCTATAACGGGTACCATGGCATCCCCAAATAAAACACTACTCACTTCAGGGCTTGGGGGACGGGTTTAGGCTGTGGGGCTTGCTTTTTAGGGTGGTAGGTTTTGGGTTGGGGATTTAGGTTTCAATTAGGGTTTAGGGTTTTGGATTTGGGGGTTTTGGGGGCTTGAGGATCTTTTGCCGTAAGGCTCTGGGGACTCATGTTTCAAGGAATTTGTGCCCAAATTCCACACAATATGAGGTCTTCATGCGTTTTAGGGTATCAATTCTGTTCAAAGAATTTGGCTTCGGGGTCTTCCAGGGGAGGACGAAGCTTCAGCTTTCTTGATCTTAGGTCCTGCGGGCGCGTGGATCACAATGCCGTGGACGGAGGTCGCCAAGATTGCTGCGAGAGTCTGCCTTACTTCTTTAGCAAAGACCCTAGGGATCCAAGCATACAAATAATACCTACATGGGGCCCTAAAGTCTGTCGATATTGCCTACATCGGATCCTCTTGGATCTCTAGGGAAACTTTTAAACCAAAACGCACACTAAAGAACAACAACTGGTTTGGGGGTTTTCAACCCACTTGCATAGACAAGCGGTCCACCCAATATCTACACGCACCGATATTCGTAAGGAACCCTATGCACACCTAGCGACACCCCAAAATGAAACCCACTTCAAGAGGTGAAGACTTATCTGCCGACCCTTGAACAGCAGAGTGGCTTCATTGCGAGAGGGCGGACGTGACGAGCTCAATTCGGGATGATGACTTGAGCTGCGACGGCTGCTGTCATGACGGATACTCTTAGTGCGTAGGGCCAGTGAAATTAGGCGAATGGCATATTGGGAATTTGGAGGGATTGGATTAGGACGCTTCTAAGCACTCTTCTAGGGATGAAGTCTTTCATTCCCTCATAGCTACCCTAACCCCAAAAACAAATGGTAGCTTCCATTTCCTTTTTCATGCCATAGTAACCAAACGAAATCCTCAACACTAAGCCCTACAGAAATCTCCATTGTCTTTTCGACTCTGTACCTGTAACCCCAAGTACTCACAGCTTAGCAGTAAGTACCCCCTACCTCGTACGTCTGATTCCTTAAAACCCTGGCTAGTTGGGGCCTCAGGTAACAACCACTTGCAGGCAAGCAGGTGCGCTCCAGGCTTAGCCCATTAAGGGTAGGACCGGTCTTCTGAACACCAACCTATACTGCGGGGGCTTTCAGAAAACTTGGCGTCTTTCTTGGGGGTCCCTACACAGTATAACATAGGGATTATCGTATTTTGGGTCTGCATGAGGGAGTCCTAAGTTTGGATGCATGAGGTTCCGGGGCGGCCTGCGCATCCCCTGAGTTCCGCTGAAGCAGCCGCGGCGCAGCATTCTCCAGCGGCACGGCGAGCTCTGGAAAGGGCCTGGGTTTAGCTATACGCCACGAGCCCCGGGAGGAGAAGGGGGGTGAACGCTGAAGGTGCAAGCTCATGGGGCTTTGGTTTGAGGTGGCTTTGTGGGTGGGTGTAGGTACGGTCTGTGGTTTTGAGGGCATGAGGGGCCCCTAAACCCTAAACCCTAAACTGAGGGGAGGCATCAAAAATTCCTTCCGGGAATTATCGTAACTTTCTTGGGTTGCATCTTCTCTTCTGCTCGGAATCTTAGCATCTGGGAGTTGCTTTACTAGGTCCATGTAAGCCGCAACCTGAACTCCGAGAATGAGGGAAACCTTCCAAGAGTTGAGGGTGAGCATGCAGTAGCTCTTGGTTGCTTTGCTCCCCTTAACAGGCTAGATAACCCCTAGATGACCCTATTTCCTTCTAATTTCCCGCTTTCAGTTCCATGCGATTCTCCGTCATAATAATAGTTTCCATGTCTTCTCCATTCCCCAGTCATACCACGAAAACATCCAGCATAGTCAGCTCGCCCAGCCATGGGGTGACTTCATAGGTCGTTGGTTACCCTTGCACGCACTGCACAGCATAACCTTATCGCAGCGCAGAAAACACCAAACTACCATCCTGCATACTTCCTCTCTGCACAGGCTGTCTGACGTATGAGATGTCCCTCCTAAACCCTAAACCCTAAACCCTTAACCCTAAACCCTAACATAAGGAGGCATCTTACCCCTGAAAGAACGAAGACCAATCGAACCTCACTTTTGGTTGGCTGTTTGAAGGCAAGTGGAGCTTTGATAGGTTCAACAACAAAGGGACTTTACTGGGAATCCCAAACAGGGAACCCCGAGAATGTAGTAGGAATATAATAAGAATGTACCTGCCATTCTATTATATTCCTACTTTCTTCTTGGGGTTCCCTGTTTGGGGTTCCCATTAAAGTCCCTGTAAAGAAGACATCATATTCTACGAGTCCACGGGCCAGGTGATGTCAAAAACTTCTAGATATTAAGCTTTATCTATAGTCCTCCTTAAGTAGATAGAATATTAGGTTATATTGCTGGGGTTATATTCAGGATACTGGAAAAGAAAATGGAAACTACTATTTCGGGTTTAGGGTTTAGAGTCCCTCTGAAGTAGATAGAATATGGCTTTGCGTATATTGTAATAAGATCCCCATATATTCTATATTCTATCTACTTAAGGAGGACTAATAAGTCCGAGCTATTCCCTCTAGCATGCCAAGTGAGGATGTTGAGCTTCAGGGGGCCTCTCAGATACCCCAGATAGCTTTGCAGATCATCCGAGGCAGGCACACGCGGCCCCACGGTAGAAACCTCTGCGCAGGAACATAATATGGTTCTCCTAGAGTAAAGTGGAAGGTACACGATACAGGGCATTCAGGTTAGTAAGTTTGTTGACTACCAAGTGCTAGCGAAAACACACACAACAATGCGACCGCATAGCGTTCCAAACAGAGCCTCGAACCATAAGCCCTCAACGCTGCAGATTTTACGACTCAACCTAAACCCAAAACCCTCTCACCCCTAACAATCAGAACCCCCAACCTTACATCCAAAATCCCAGGCCCAGCCTTCAATACTCTTTAGTGGTACTACGTCATGAGCCTTCATGTAACTACACACCTTAACTCTAGCTTTTCGGGCTTATGGCTTAAGGCAATGGACTGAAAACTGATTTCTTCTACCACAATAAGCCCAAACCGAATGCTACACAGTATGCCCAGATACTCCGTTCACGGGAATGCTTTTTCCCCCTGTGTCGGCCTTGACTCGTGGGTCAATGGCGAACTGAGGCTATCCTCGCATTGACCCAGGCTTCGGGCACAGTGTTTAAGATGTCCAAGACCCCAAAGGGATCTTAAAATGGGGTTACTATGAGTTTATGTAGAGGATCTAATTCTTAGATCCGCTCAGGGGTCTGGGGTGGAGCTTGGACTTTAGGACTTGGGCCGATTCGACACTTAGGGTGTTTGGTGTGGTGGGGTCTCGGGCTTCGGTTTTGAGGTACTGGCAGTTTCAGGGGCAACCCCATACCCAATCATCATCTACCTTCCCCAACTTCGGCTTCACAACCATGGGCTGAAAGGCTTCTCAGGCGAGTGAGGGGATCCAAATTGACAAAAGGTCGCAGAATAAAGAGAGAAGGGATGTGGCCTATGTGGCCCGGAATTTACTTCCTGGGAGTTAGTAGGGAATAAGGGAATATATTATATGGGGATGAAGGGAGGGATTGCATTCCCTTGTTCCCTACGAATCCCCAGTAGGTTTAGGCAGTTAGTTGCCCGATAGGAAGCTACTTCGAGAGATACAGGTTCTTCGAAATCAGAGGTACCCTTTGGGGGGTCCCCATTATAATGATTATGATTTCTAAGGTCTACATTTAGGTCCCCCTATTCTGAGAAACTACCATATGGGGTGTTCCTGAAGATGGCCTGGGATGGGCATCACAATTCCTTACCTCATGACTGCACCGGATGCCTTACTGGTGGTTAGCGGGGAATGCATCTAGCCCTAAAGTAGTTTCCACAGAAATCCCTTTGGACCGCCACTTCTCTGCCAACCTCATTGTTTGGACAAGCCTCATCCCGTGGCCCGCTGGATTTGTTTACTCAGCTAGGGACCTTGAAAAAATGACAGCCCAACCCTTAAGCCCAGAAGCAAACTTCAAACCCGCACCACCCAAACCCGTTCTGTTTCAAGCCGCCAAAAACCTGATTCTAGCACCGGATGAATTCACTGTCCATTGTCATTGGTCAGCCGAGTCCTTAAGTTGAGTGGTGGTTTCAAGATCGAGGCCGGCCACCCTCAATTCAATTGACCCAAGGATGCACCGTAATTGCACATGGGGATTTGTACCTAAAGCCTTAAACCCTCAATCCTGCCTAAACCCCCCAAAATATGTGAAATAATTGCCTTAATCCCATAACAACAGCCCTAAAGGCCATTATCTGAATTACTTTTGGGGTCCAGGTAAAGCCTTAAACCCTACATCCTGATGGTTTATTCGGCGACCCAGAGCTCGGGATTCGTCCGCTTTGAAAACTTATCCCATGGCGCCCAGTTACATAAGTACCCAGAGGGTCCAAGTACCCAACAATTAGGTACTTGGGTTTAGGGTAATAGTAATTATAATACAGGTTCTGGGTAAGTATACGATTATTAGGTACTTGGACCCTTAGGGGTAGTAGGCTACTGGCCTGCATAACTATGAAGTTTCTAGAACCCAGAAGCCATTCTTGAGGTAACTGGAGCCCTATACTGTTGCTATTGCTATTGTTGTTAATACTATTAGTACCATTACTACTACTACTACTACTACTACTCCTAGTGTTACTGTTTTTACCATTCTTACTTAGGGTATCTGGCGAGGTGACACCAAGGTCCTTCTCTGAGGGCACAGGCATTGCGTTTCGCTCGACGACGGCTAGGTCCTGGAAGAGGCAGTGGTTGCTAGTTCTAGGGTGTAGGACTTAGGGCTTGGGGTTTAGGGTTTAGGATTTAGGGTTTAGGGTTTAGGGTTTGGGGTTTAGGGTTTAGGATTTAGGGTTTAGGGTATAGCCCTTCCCCAATCACGCAACTCGTACCTCCAAAGGTTTACAAGATTCAACCTAAACCTTAAACCCTAAATAGCAGTTTCCATCTTATTTTCCACTATCCCAATATAACCCCAATATACCCCCGATATAACCCCCATATAACCCGGATTAAAGTTTAGTAAAGTGGCCCACCTAAACCCTAAACCCTAAACCCTAATCCCTATTTGGTAGCTCACAGCTCAGGTCTTGCCTTGAATCGGAACTTTTGAAATTAATCTTGCAACCGGTATCTGGCTCAACTGGGTAGTGTTTTTTGGTGGTTGAACCTAGTAAGATAATATTCCTTATATAATAGTATACCCCAAAAGGAGGATATAATCTTACTCTATATTGGGTACCATAGCTAGGTTCCCCAGTAACTCCCTTTTAATAAGGGTACCCTTTTTCCTACTATTCAGCTTTAATAAGGAGACCCCAAAATCAAAAGGGCAAAAGGGTACTACTGGGGTACCTATATTGGGTACCATAGCCCTAAACCCTAAACCCTAAACCATAAACCCTAAACCCTAAACCCTAAATCCTAAACCCTAAACCGTATCCCCAAACAAAATACTACTCAACTGCCGGCTCTGAATCGGGAGGCCGTAGTCCAAGAAGAGAAGCGGGTTTAGCTTACGGTTTAGGGTTTAAGGTTTAGGGTTTTAGGGTTTAGGGTTTTAGGGTTTAGGGTTTTTAGGGTTTAGGGTTTAAGGTTTAGGTCCCTAAGCCTGAAACAATGCCCCATA